AAAATGCATTTCAAAAAAAAAAAGTCATCCCGGGTGAGAGGAGAGCATGAAATTTATGAACAGCTTCGCTGGAGCGGAACTATCTACTTGATCAGAACAAAGAATTACAAATCATTACACAAAAAAATAAAAGCCGATGAAATCGGCCGAGCGGTTTCTGTACGAGATGGAATCGCGTGTGTTTATGGACTGACCAAGATTCAAGCTTATTTTAAGCCACAGGGCATCCGGCATGCCGGCATCACACATGTGTAAGGTTGTTGGTACAAGTGCATGGAGCCGCTGTTATTGGGAAAAAAAAAAAGCGCAAGGAAATGGTCAAAAGTTGTAAATCATGCGAAGAGTTAGCTTTTTTTTTTTTTTTATCCTCTTGACGAAAAAGAACCCAATTGAAACTTTTGAAAGGCCCAGAGTAAAAAGAAATAAAAAATAATAACTTTAAACTTTGTCCATCGTATTAAAATAGCCACAGTTATTATTTTCAACAAACAAAGATAAAGCCTCTCAATGGATGTCGATTCTTTCTACGATTCCTGTACACTCCCACCTGATCTAAGTAAGACCAATGATTCATCTTAATAATGATCCACTAGCAACCTCTGATTTAAAAACCATTTAAATGATTTATATGAAATTAATATTATCGTAAGGTACTTTATTCAAGTTTATTGAAGTTTATTCTTCGGCAAAAAACAACGGCAATCTTATTTTATAAGCCTTGGGCGCATATTCACATAAGGGAGAACAACCACCTTGCCATTACGAAAACACCTGCTGTTACGATACCATAGTGGCTGCATGAATCAGAGCTGATACATAGACCCGATTCACAGAGCAAAAAAAAAAAAAGCATAATGGTACACAAATCCACTCTGAAGTGGGGACTTATTTCAACTTATTTGCTTTGCTAATTTTTGAAATGTGGTGGAAATTCCATATAGGGACACAAAATGGAAATAGCACCTTTTTGTCTGAATTTACTTCAAAAATGTAACTTCATAACCAAAACGTAAAAATGATTGAGCTATGAAATGATTAAAATTCTTCAAGAAGAATTTCTTTTACAGATAAGCTTCAAGATGAACTGGGTATCAGTTCTGATAATCTTCTTTCCTGAAAAGGAATACTAGCTGAGTCGACATCCTACAACTAGGAGGAAGAGGAAAGTGAGGAAAAAACGGAATTTGATATTATTCTCGAAGAAGTACCTATAGCTCTAGTAGAATCACAGTTAGTGATTCCTAGTGTTACAAATTTGGGCCTCAAAGAAGCAAAAAAATAATTTATCGAAGCTTTACCAAAAAGTTCAAAAACTGTTAAAGAAGGAATTTCCAAAGAAGAAGCAGAGAGTGTAAGAGCTCAATTAGAACTTAGAAGAATCAGGTGCAAAATTGAGAATGTAAAAATAGTAAAATACCACTTTTTTGTCCTTCGGGACATCCGTTAAAATTGGAACGATACAGATAAAATTTGCATGGCCCCTGCGCAAGGATGACACGCATAAATCGCGAAATGGTCCAAATTTTTATGGTACGGTCATACCACGGCTAATGTGCCCGATCCCATCTGACTCAGGGAAAACAACAACAACAACAACAACAACAACAACAACAACACTTTTTTTATAATCCTGCAGGAGGAGGAGATCTTGTTTTATTTCAAAATCTGCTTTGGTCCTTTGTTCGGGATGGCCACCCCCCCCTTCTCCCTGCCCCCCCCCCCTC